AGGATATAATCCCCTATCATGGGACTACAGCACAAAATGGGCAGAGACTTCTTCTAGTTTTATATTTTCTTTAAATAGAGCGAATGTTGGTCAATCTATTGTTAGTAGAGTAATAAATTATAGTAAAGCAATTCGAAATTCACATGGGCCATCATTTGGCGATGGTGATTTGTGGGTGAAAGTCACTTGTGTTAGAAATCTTGCCCTTCCTAGTTTTTGTAGACCGAGAAGTTATGAGAGAAGAATTTTTGATTTAGAACAATTTCATGTGGAAGATTATGAAGTATTTCAGGTTATTAAAAAGACTAATGTTATTTATATCTAGTGAATTTTTTATCATTAGGTACATTATCATTGTTTAAATAAAAAAAAATATATACTTTCTTTTTTCTTTTTTTATAAGCAATAATGCAAAGTGTATCTAAACTGGCTATATTCAGGTAAATTTTGACAATAAACATATCATATTTTTGCCTAATTTTCGTCTTGAAACAATTTATATACGGTGTATTAATACTTCTTAGTTAAGGCACAAAATATTATCTATAATGGCACTTCTGATAAGTGAATGGAGTATGTACGTACGTACATGTCTATATTCAGAATTAGATTCGGTTCGCGGAATAAATGAGTGTAAACGAATGAATGTAGTGTAATGAATTCTCGTTGATAGATGTGGCATTGAAATATGGATTCATGCTAATAACTAAATAGCAATGATATATAACATCGTGGTGTCTTTTATTCGCATACGTATTAGATATTAAAGCTTTACGCGTATAATGCTTGAAAGGAGTAACGATGGGAGAAAAGGCAAGGTTTATAGCTACTTGACTACTAGTTATTCATGAGTTGCTAACGGATGAAACTTATTTTGGAGGATCAAATGTTTTATCGAGCTCCAAAGAGACGGATATTTAAAGAAAAGGACTAAAGGAACTCCAAAAAATTCTAATAATAAAAAAGCTCAAACACGTTTGTTTAGAATTGATTTCTTATTTTAACTAGGGTTTAAAATTATCCCAATGAGTATAGTAATAAGCCTTCTGTTATGGCTGTTGAAACCATTCTAGCATCGCCCAAAAATCAGTTACGTAACGGCATTTAAATCAGCATTCCGATAAATTACAAAGATAGAAATATCGTAAAAAAATGTTTTTGAAGCAAAAGATGTCCATAAATATTATTTCTGCGACCTATATTACTAAAGTGAAATAATTTAAATTAGGGTTATAGCTAGTTTGGGATTAAGATTAAAGTGTTATAGGTAGATTGCTCTCCCGTTTATTAGAAAAATATCAGTAAATCCATCCAAATATTGTATAAATTCATTGCATTTAATTTATTAATGCTATTAACGTCAAGAACAAATTTATTTGCTTTTTCAAACTCTTCCAAGACTGATCTTGCTACAAAATTTCATTAACTAAATTAATCGGTACAAAATAAAACCCATTGATATTTTTCAAATTGTCATCAATGATATTCAAATTTGCAAGAACCTTATAATTGTATCCGTAACATTTTCCACAATCACAATTTCTTCAGTATCAAGTAAAATAACAGCAATCTCTTTTCATATTTTCACCTTTTACTATCACTAAACATTGGAAACAAGTTTTTTTATTCAAAAAAAGAAAAAATTTGATAACGATAAAGATAATATAATCGATTAAGAAATAATTACCAAATTATCTGTTTTACAAGTATATAGAATTACCAGAATATATATTTTAAATACCGGATGTAATCGACACTGTTCATGAGTAAATTCAAGAAATGGTTCATGAGTGACTCATTAAGTATACTAGGCATACGAGCTTAATTAATAATGGATATGCTTGAAGTTTTCATCTGTTTTTAGGCTCGAAGTAGTAATTAATGTATGCAAGATCTAAGCTTAATTTTGATCAAAGTTATTGTTTTAAAAAGGTTTGCCTGCGTTTTATGATGTTTTAACATATTTGACCCGCAATTTTATTAAGTCTTTAAAAAATTTTTAATTCGGCCCGGACAATTCAGGCCTATAATCAGACATATACAGTTGATATTGTATAATTGCATATACTCTCTAAATGCATGAGATTTGGGTTTTTTAATTTTAACACAAAAATTGTTTCTGTCTATATGTATAAAAAAGTCTCTGACGGAAGGCATGCAATGATACAATATTGACTCTATGAGTCTAAGTAAAAAAAATGGATTATGAATTCATAATAATCTACTCATTACAATTTTATATAATCAAAAGTTTTTTATACCGAAATGTAAAGAAAATTCTATTGCACCATTCTTGATCAGGATGTTATCTCTAAAAGTGGAACCAAACTTTACATTGATAAGATTTTAAGATTATCCCTTTTGTAGTAGAATTAGTAAGTCTGTTAAACAAGTGAGCATGAACATTTTTGGCGATACTGGGAAGATGGCGTTCGGATACTTTCCTTTGCGTGATGATTGAAGGTCACATAATAGAGATTTCAGAATGATAGTCAATTAGCTGTTGAGATTTCTTACTATATTATATTTTTTGTGGTTAACTTTCCCGTACAATTATGAGAAGTAACATTAACCAAAATGCGGATTTCGAACGGTCTAATATATACATTTTATTCCGCCGGCCGATATCAATATAAAAAAATAGATTCGTTGGATTTCTAAAAAGAATTCGTTATCTTTCTATAATCAGTAATTCATTCCTCTTTATTAATTTAGAATATAGTTTCCGAAAATGGTGCTTACACTTTGGTTTTAAAATCCTCTAGTGTTGTTATTGAATCAACAAGTCAACATAATGCAAATGGCCAACAATAACCTCGTTTTATATTTTCTCATTTTCTTCTTGTTTCCTTCTATACCTGCTGAAATTTCATATAACTTGCCTGGTAGGGACCAAAACCGCTACAATCTTTTGATCATTTCCTAACTTTAAATTAAATAAAACTTCTTGTTAGAGGGATGGTACCTCACGGGTAACAACATCACGAATTATGTATTTGATGGAAACCTGGTAAGCTCTAAATTCTTTATTTATAAATTTGTATATTGATATGGACAATTTTTTTCTTTTAAATAGTCCGGAACAAGGATTTATAAAACTTGCATCCTACGAAAACCAATTAATTCCTGGTTCTTTTGGTACTGCTATGCAAAATTTTATTCCTCAAGATTTTAAGCAAACGAGTTAAATTACATGCTTCGTGAAGTATGAAGAACACTTATCGATAATTAAAACACGCAATATATTGTACTTCATTTTTTATTTATTTTATATATTTTAGAATGTCACAAACTGGGCTGGCATGTGGATGCGAGTTGATACAAGCACGAGTCCGAACTCTCGATAACATGCCGACCTCTTAAAGGCAATCTATTTAATGATTTTAATGAATCTGGCAACTGAAAAATTGCTGATGTTGAAAATTTTTGACTTAGTTTGATATGAAAATTTAAAATTTGTGTGCATTTTTTTTTTTTTTTTTTATAAATATGGTGCTGGAAGCCTATACTCAACAGTTACACGAAGTGTTTCAATTTTTTAAATGGCTATAACTTTTTATCTAAGAGGTTTAGAAAAAATCTGCCCGGTAACTTTATAGAGCTATATCAGCTCTACATATCTGCCAAATTTCATTTCAAAATCTCATCACTGTAAAGAGTTGA